AGCTGAGGGATAGGATTGAGCGCTGTCTTGAGACTGGGGATGAGGCCATTGACTTCTGGCAGATGGATCTGTGTGAATTATCCAACGATACCATCGCTCCTCTTTCTCAATTTGCCCACATCCCCAAGATCACAAAGGATGTCGCTTTTGAGCAAAAAGAACCTGAGCTCAAGCTGTACCTGGCCCAGAACAGATTGATGCGCCTAACTGGCGCTCTGTTCGATGTGACCTACCTCACCACACTCAGTCTTCGCAACAACAAATTGACCGAAGTTCCTCCAGCCATTGGGAAAATGCGCAACCTCCAGCAGCTCAACTTATCACAGAATCGAATCCGGAGTTTCCCAGTTGAGCTCCTTGACCTCTTCAAGGCCAACAGTCGCCTGGAGGGCTTGTCCTTATTCCCCAACCCACTCCTACCCGCAGAACAATCGTTTCAGAGCCTCCTAGACGACGTTGGTGAAGAGCCATTTGAAGTGTGGGACGGTGCTCCCTGGAAGACTACCGAGAATCTACCTCGGTTTCTTACACGTCGTCTAGGCCGCTCACCTATTCAGACTTCAGAGAGTACGGGCAAAATTACGTCCGCCTTTACCATGAAATCAGCCATGGATGCCGGCCCCGTTCACGTGGAACATTTCTTCAACCCCAAACACGAGTCGCACGCATCTCCAAACCTCTCGGATGAGCCCAATGTCGCAGTCCAGCAACAGACAGCATCCAGCACCAGAGTACCAAGTCTGGTAGAGACCGTGATGAGAAGTGCCCATAGGAGTCCTCATCTCGGCGAAATGGCATCGTATATTCCTGACGAGCTGTCTCACCTCCGCACACTGTGCGATCGAGCTGCACTACAGAAGGACCAGGGAGGACTGGTGTGCTCACAATGCCGGAGGACCATTGTGACTCCGGCGCTTGAATGGATAGAGTGGCGAGAAATACGATCCTTCTCAGAGAGCACGAGGTTTGGTAGAGCTGGCAAATATCGTTTGGTTCCCATCAGCGTGCGCCGAGATGAGATCAACGTACCATTCATACACCGAGCATGCTCATTAAGGTGTGGTCCACAGGAACGGCATGCAGGTTGGGAATTCCCTGAGGGAACTCGGGGCAGAACCATTGGCAACATTTTTTACACGGGTCCCCTCCCGAGTGAGGAGGGTACACCATCCGATTCATAAGGCAGCCTTTTTTATCTTTGCTACTTTATCATCATCACGGGGTTCTTGCTTTTTTTGGGGGGCGCAGCGGATCATTCGGTCAAGAGGACATTATTGAGCTGGAGTGTATATATTTCTACCCGAGCAATCGAATATATTTGAACGGCCTTCTAATTCTCAAGAAGGTCACAACTGGCATACAGCGCGTCAAACATCAGTCTCACATATTAAAGTGCCACCGTGGATTATTAAGTTAAGTGCGCAAGTGGGTGACATTGAAATTGAGACACTCAAACATTAAGCGGCTTATTGTCGAGTCTGCAACCTGTACTATCAAGCTATTGAGTGCTAATAATATATACATAAGAGATAATATACAAATATTATCACTTTCTTTGGCTTTATACTACTAAATTTCAAAACCACTCTTCCATTGGGTGTCTCATTTCTGCTGTCACCCACTTGGTGTGGACTCGTAACCCCGCGCCCGTGTTGCACTGTAGAGCTTCGAGGAAGCGGTACGTCAGACGCCATCCAACCGTTATGTGCCACCTGACCCAAACCAGGCTTATGACCAACCTTAGTGGCAAGGATAAGCTCAGCCATACCCATTTCCACTGATTAAAAAAAGTTTAGCTCTCTGGCATTGTTTACTTGGATCAACTGAGTCAGTGGGTAGGCCGTCTTCTGATCCAGGCTTGAAGATCGATATCCCACCACTTCAATTGCTTGACTCGGGTAGCACAAGACCTCCATCGTAGGTGCATCTGTAGAATAAACTACGTGCAAGAGTCGTAGTCAGTAGTAGCACTAATTTCGGGGCAGGCCACAAGCAAATATGACACGGGCCTAAGTCGGCACCCTAGTCAACGGCCCTCCCCCCCCAACGGTCCGGTTTTTACACCAAAAACCCGCTTTTTCTAGCCCTTATAACTAGCTAAATAAAATAGATAAAAATAAGATAAATTTTTTTCTATAAAATAATATATAAGATATTAGTACTGAATTTTTTCCTTTAGTTTATATAATTTCTATAATTAATTATAAGCCTTTAAATATTAGAATTTTATTTTACTAAGAATTACTAAGAAATTAGATTCTTAAATTTAAGCTTAAATAAATTATATAAAAATCAGGAAAAAAATTTATAAATAATAAAATTCTTTAATATTATTAAATTTAATTTCTATATTATATAAAAAAAATCCCTATAAGGTTTTTTTTTAAGTAGGTACTATTTTTAGCCTACTTAAAAAAAAGCCCTATAAGGATTTTTTACTTAGTAATATATATATATTATAAAATCCGGAAAAATCTAAATATAAAAAGTCTTTAAAAACTAAGTTAATAGCTTTTAAAATAAAGGAATTAAAAATAAATTTCTAAAGTTAAGGTTTTATAAGGAATTCTTAGGGATTCCTTAACTTTTAAAATTTTCAGATTTTAAGAAATTCTATAAAATCTTATATTAGATAAAAATACTTTAAAAAAATTATATAGCTTAAAAACTAATTAAACTAACTATAGAATTTTTATTAGGCCTTTTTAATTATAATCTAGCTAGTTATAAGGGCTAGAAAAAGCGGGTTTTTGGTGTAAAAACCGGACCGTTGGGGGGGGAGGGCCGTTGACTAGGGTGCCAACTTAATTCATGCACAGATCCAGATGAAATGCATATCGTGCAGCAGGGAAGTGGGGGCGATTCAGCGCATCGTGAGCCTGGTGCCCGCCTGTAGCGCTTTTTTTCGCGCTGTTAGGTTGAGGGACCAGGCCTCTTATCACCTGGCGAACCAAACCAAGCCCAAAGTCGTCATCTGCCCCATCCATATGCCAAATGCCTGCCTTTCCCATCCCTCCGGCCTGGCGATTAGCTCTCTTTGTCTGTTTGGCCCATCTCCCCCTCCCAGCACGCCTTTTCGCGGCATAGCATTGGCCTGTGGCGTCGAGAGTTTTGGTATTCGGTTTTAGAGATGAAACCCTAAGTGCCAACTTTACATGCCGCCCTGCCCTTAGGACATTCCGACTTCACATTGCTTTACGACCCCCCTTGCTCGAGGCCACAGAGAATCCGCCGTCGAAAATGGCCTCGCCCAACCCATCGCGGCCCGTGTCACCAACACCATCGCAGCTCCCACCAGTCCCTGCCTCTCCGGTCTACTCGATGGCCTCAACCGCCAATCCACTGTCTCAGTTCAGCCTCCCGCTGCCGCCGCCGCCTCGAGCCCCCCACGCCGTACTCACCAAGGCCGACCTCGAGCGCTCCCAGGAAGCCTACTCCGACCTCGTCTCCTCCGCCAAAGCCTACCGGGTCGCCCTCGCCTCCCTATCCACCGCGGCATCCACATTCGGCTGCGCACTGGAAGCATGCGCCCGCCTCAAGGAGTCCCGCGCCGAGCCGGTCGCCCCGATGGGCCCCAGCAACATGTCGGCCAGCTTCACGACTAAGGGCGCCTGCACGGCCGACACGCTCATGTCCGCCTCGGGGGTGCAGCACCTAATCGCCAACCACCAGCAGATCCTATCCGAGACGGTGTACCGGTCCTTCGAGGTGCCGCTGCTGCACGAGCTGGACAAGTGGCAGACGCTCATCGACGACGAGGAGGAGGCGTACCAGCAGCGGATGAAGACGCAGAGCAGGGAGATTAAGCGTCTCGAGAAGGAGGGGATGAAGCTGCACCGGCAGCGCAAGCGGGACGTGGGCCGCTTCCGGGCGCACCTCGTCGAGCTCACCAATAAGCTGGACGGGCTCACGACGCTCCACGCGGACCACTCGCGCACGCTGCTGAGGGACAGCCAGGACACGAGCGGCCGGATCGTCGACGCCAGCTGCAGCCTCGTGAGGGCCGAGGTGGACATTTTCGAGAGCCTGGCGAGAAAAGGGTGGACGGGCGGAGGGCTGGAGGATCTCCTCGAGAAGGGGCAGGACCTGTTCGCGACGGAGGACCTCGGCGGCCACCACGCCGGGGTGGTCGGGGAGACGACCAAGCTCTTCTCCATCCTGCCGCCTAAGAGCATCCTCGCGGACTCTGCATCAGATGCCTCCAGGCCGGGCCACGCAAGGAGCGACAGCCTGGGCATGGACTCTGGCCAGTACCAGTCTCTTGCCGCCGTTGCGGAGGCCCGTGGCGGCGGCGACGCTGACAGTATTATGTCTGCAGAGTTCACCAAGCCTCGCAATGCCAGGCCCTTCTCGCCACAACCTATCCGGCGGAGGGCGACGGATGTGAAGATTGACAGCCTGGGGGCCTTCTCTGGGGAATCTTCATCTATTAATGGAGACGAAGATGTCCTTCGGGCAGATCATAAGGTGCCTGCGATCGATCAAGACATCAAGGAAGAGGAAAGTGAGGGGGAGGAGGGCCATGAGGCTATTTGGGATGAGAGACAGGAACTCCTGAGCAATTCCGGAAGACAAACACCGGAACAAACACGAGGACGAAAATCACCAGATTTTATCACAGATGAAAGTTCGCCGGATCCATAACGAGCGAATCATTACACAAACACAAGTCAAAGCAGAATGCTGTCATTATCTTGATTGTTGGAGTTTACGGCGTTGATAACTTCAGGAGCGAAGTTTGGTAGTTATAGACAGATCTGTATTATTTTGCTGTAGTATATATTATATGCTTACAGCGGGTATCCATCAATATCCGCTGTGTCTATCAGACTGGCCAAAATATCCTATTCATTTTACCACCAATTTAAACCGAGTGCAAAACAAAAAAAGAAAACGCCAAAACCCCAGTCGTGCTATGCGGCTATAGCAAGCCATCCACTACTTTCACATTTGCTCATACAACCCTCTCATATCATATACATCCATGTCCCTCCGTTGGTTTATTCGTCCTTGTCGATGCTAGAAATGTCGCCTCGGAAGAGACCGAAAGTGGAATCGAGCCACCAGATAATCTTCCAGTACAGGCTTGCTTTATTCCAATCAAAGTCGCCCGTTTCTGTTCGAGGGACTTCGTTGCCAATGATGCTGCCGCTAAACCAGTTGATAAAAGGAATTGCGCTCACGACGCGCTGGGTCACTGACTTCTGGGGCTTGAGGGCCTGCTCGGCAGGGAGGAGGACTGCGCGGCGGGCTGTAGGGATGCTGCGGCAGAAGACGCTGTCTTCCACAATCAATGGCTCGATGCTGGAGGACGCAGCCCCAGAGTCTCCAAATACAGCTGGGGTGGATTCGATGACTGTGCCGCTCGAGAGCGTACCGGTCTCGAGGGTTTGGCTTGAGTCCAGGGACTGGGGTGGCGAGTTGTTCAGATCAACAAGACGGCTGTTAAAGGACGTGGGGAAGCTGGTAACGCTCTTTCTCCTAGGCTGACCAAAGGCCGCGGGCATGCTCTTTGATCGTTCATGCTCTCCTCCGAACAAGCTATCAAGGTCTGGAATCGGTTCGTCCTTGGGAGGTGGCATCCCCTTGTATGGCTCGGCGTAAACAAGGTGACCCAAGATGCGCTGTGGGCTTGCGTAGATGGCAGCATCCGCAGCCTGGGCGCTCTCGAATGTAACCTTGATCCAATGTTCACCTCCATCAACGCGGTTGACTTTCATCCGCTCCTCTGCATTCAGAGTTCGCTGTCTCCTGAATGCAGAGTCCCGGAGCTGAGACTTGTAGCGTCGCTGTGATGGGGGTGGCTCACGAGGGTAGTCCTCGAGGATGGTACCAGCAAGCGACTCGAAATGCGAAATGGCGGCGTATTGTTGTGTAGATGATCGGTAGCCACGAAGCATAATCTCGACGGGCTGGGAGGCTTTCGTCTGGAGCTGCTGCTGCTGTTGCTGCTGCTGTTGCGATGCCTGGGACCCTTGCGAGTCATCCTGCTGTTGCTGGGCACTATCTCTCTGCTGTGTCGCCGAGGCGCTGGCTTGGTGGCCTGCCACCCAGTCACCGAAGAGCTTATCGGCAGCGACTAGAGTTTTGTTCTCGCGGCCGCGTTGCGCTGGGGTGCCGGTGCGTGATCGGGATCGACGTGTCGATTTTCCGAAGGAGCCAGACTCGCCAACATTTCGCCGCGATCGGGTGGTTCCTGTGTGTGCGTCTGGTCTGAAAGATCCCGTTAGCTAAGCTCTCCAAATGGGGGATGACGGATGATGGCAAAGTTCATACTGGTTGAAAATCATGGCATAGGGACGCTTGACGCCATCATCGCCAACATAACATTCGTCATCGGGAACATTATGAAGAATAAGAGGCGCCATGGTGACTAGATCGAAACCGCAAGCGGATTTCGCGTTGTGCGTTGTGGTGGTGAGAAATTAGAACGGCGAGCTGTCGCGACAAACGCTGCTGGATGGGCAAACCTAACACAAGAGCTTTCTTTGTAGATATTTCTTGTTTGATGTTTAGCCCAGGAAAGCTCCAGGGCAACGCAGGAAGCAAGTTTCTCCGATACCCGATAAAAGCCACCTACCCTGTAGCCTCCGCCTATTTCGATTCGTGTCTGAGGTTGAGTGAAATGATTAACTAGACTGAAGATCTGAAAGAAAAAAAGAAGAGAATTAAGGTATTTTCATGCATTAATTTGTTCCTCTTCCATTCATGTATCCAACGTCAATGCGTGGGTGTCATAAAGAGAGAGGATGTGCTCTTTGTATTTACATTCTAAGTCAATTGTATGACGGACTATATCAGATTTTAGGTATTAACAAAGATATGAGCAACACAATAAGCCCTTTATTGTTCAACAAATTGAAATTATCACCTAGCTCGAATTCTCGAATTTATTAATTCGAAATTGTTATAGTTTGATAAATATGTTTATATTTCCTCCTTAGCTTTTGATAACCTTGACAATTACAATTGGTAGAAAGCGAAGGCTATGGAATGTTTTGGAAAGGATATTTTTTTTTGAGGTATAATTAGAGAGATATCATTGGGCTAGTAAAATAAGTTTATCTTAAAACTTCTGAGCATAGAAAATAGTTGTCCTTTACAATAGCATCCGCTGCTCTATCTCATGTGTTTGTAAATCTTCATAGCCTCCAAATGTTTGTTTACATTTATTATATACCTAGGAATATATTTCTCCAAAAATATTAGAAGCGTTTCACGAGACAACAGTTGTGCACACTGTCTTTGCGTTGAGCTCATAAGAGACAAAGCTCAAGTATCCTGGCCTAAAGACAGTGTTGCCACCGATTTGGTGCATCGTAAGTGGGACGAGTCAGACGATTTGTGTATTGGACTTCTATAGAAGGAATGAACAGAAGTATTGAGGCCCAAATCCTATGAAAGACTCACTGATTTATGCTATTTAGGGGCAACTCGAAAAAGTTACAGCAGGAGCATGCATTGTCTAGGCTTCGCCTGGAAGATACAAAAAGTTCAGAATGAGAATATGACAACAGAGAGAGCATGCTTGTTTTTAGAAGGATGTTTAGATGCATGCTGTTCAGAGAGATAAATGCGAAGTTACGCTTTGCTGGGAAATATCCTGGACAGCTGATTGTTATCCTCCACAAGATGATTAATGAAATGCAGTAACATTGCAAATTGGGTGATGCCACTAGAATGCTATGCTACAAAGAAATATGGAAAAAGTCTTCGATTCATTCTGGCTCTCTTTTCGCATATTATGCTAGAAGATTCTAAAAACTAAAAACCATCCCCTGATATGGAAGTTGAGAGGCTGTCCCGGAGACGATGTTGAACTTCATAGGCAGTACCATTATTTGTCCCCTAGCAACGTTATTGGAGAAAAGATTTTGGGAGAAATTTTATCCATCCGTTGCGGCGTTGGGGGCACTCACACACAGCTTTGTATAATACATTTACCGCACTTCTCTAGTAGAAGAAGGACGATAATCCATACTTCTAGGGCGTAAATACCACTTTCTGAACCTTGAGCTGATCAAATAGCTGGTAACCCTCAACTGCACTGGAAAGCGGCATGATATTTTCGAACATGAAGCTAAGACAAAAAAATTAGCTTGATGAAAAATAGGAGAGTCAAGGTTCTGACCTGAGAAGATCTTGCTTTTTCTCTAGCAATGCGAGAGCTTCCGGAAAAACACTTCGCACCGGGCAGCGGCCCATCTGAAGGCGAATATTTTTTCTGACATGTAATTAGTTTCCAATATTACTGGGGAAGAGTTTTTGTAGCCAGCATATACATACCCATAAGCTTCATTGCCTGTCCAGGGAACCTGAATGCTATCAGCATGTGACAAGCCGTCATTACAGAATAGCCATACCTCTGCATTATGAACGCCGATACTGCTAATAGTGCCAAATGGACGGACCAAATCAAATGCGGTCCTCAAGGCAGGGGAGAGCCCGACGACTTCAACAGCCATATCGGCGCCCCTGCCGTCTGTAACCTCCTTGATACGCGCCTCCATCCCTTCCTTGTCCTTTGCCGAGTTGAACGTCTCAGCCCCAAGCTTCTTGGCCTGCTCCAGGCGGCTGTCTACCATGTCTATGGCAAAAAGATGTTTCGGCTGTAGATGAGCTGCGGCGACAATGGCACACAGGCCAACAGGACCGCACCCAATAACGACAATGGTGGCATCGCGTACGTCAATGGACGGCGACATTTCAATCGCACTCTTGACACCAAAGTAACCGGTTGGGAATATGTCAGCCATGAGGACGAGCGCCTGGTCTGAGATGGTGGGTGGTGCTTTGGCGACGGTGCCATCCGCAAGCGGAACTCGTACAAACTCGGCCTGGCCGCCGTCCAGGACCTTGCTCCCGAAGAGCAGGCATCTGACACAGCGCGAGCTGCTGCCATGGGTACAGTAAAAGCATTCACCGCTGAAAGGGGAAAATCAGTCAATGAGTTGGCACGGGCTGACAATGGGATATTGGGTCATTCACGAAGTAAAAGATGGACTCACCATGAAGTAGTAAATGCTGACACGACCTTGTCACCAACCTGTACTGATTTCACTGTAGGGCCTGCAGCTACGACGGTTCCAGTGAATTCATGGCCCATGATGAACCCTGTAGCACTGGGTTGGTGCCCGCGGAATACATGGAGCTCGCTAATAATAAGACTGGTTAGCCTCCATCAGACAGATCTTTCACATATAGGGTTCAGTAGCGTTGAAAACGTACGAGCCGCACAGTGCCGAAGCACTTACTTTGACGATGATGTCGTTGTCGTCTTGCACTATCATGAGTAGTTTCAGTTAGGCAAGTAGCTGGCGTGAGCGGGATGGTGGATTCAGTGGATAGACCCCGCAGTAGCTTAACTGTACGTACATTGGGGGACAGGTCGATCTTGGATCGAGACTTTGTAAGGGCCGTCGAAGACGACGGCTTTCATCACTGTTTGGGACGACATAGCGCAGAGTGGCTGGTGACAGGGCAGACAAATGGGTAGGAAATGTACAGGGCGGATTCAAAGAGGGGAACTGGCAATGGTCTGTTCACAATTAGCCCGCCGATGAATTGCAGGTCATGAGCTCGGCATAGCCGAGGCAACTCCTCATGGCGGGGTTACCCAGTCAAGTGGCCGAACCTAAAACCACACAGCATGCATATGTTTCAAGTATTGTAGAGATGATCAGTCATGGTGGCCAGTGATGGCATGGAAAATGTGCAGCGTAACGTTCAATGTTAGTTATTATCAACCTTTGTAATCCTGGCTGGCAGCCCGAGTGGACCGGTGTGGGTAGCTGGAGGCACCAGGAAGCTAGGAAACCATGGAGACAAAGGTGGCTTACCGTCTCCGTTGAGATATGGGCTGATCTAAACCGAATTGGCTTGCTTTGGGGGCTGTTGGGGCATTCGTGAGTCCAGGGCTGAGGAATCAACAGCCACAACCAAGGAGGGTGGCAGTGATCTGGCAGCCTCAGGAAAAGCCCCTCCCGAGATTGAAGACTTTTTTTTTCTTTCTTTTCACTTACAGCAAATCAAGCACTGTGCGTATTCGGATTATGGCGTGAGTGACAGCTCACATCAAAGAGAACGGTATCTTTGGTGCGGGGCGGAGTGTGTGGGCGGTGCCCCCTACGTTGAACTACGGGCATCTAGTATCGGGAAAAGCAAGGAAGATCGCAGTTGCAATTATTCACTGAAACTAGCTCCACCATGAGGCCACCTCGTATCATGTAGTGTAACCGTGAACTTGAGTTGGGCTGGCACTGCGCAACTGACCGGTATATTGGTCTGAAATTCACCTCCGATACCGCAGCCAGAAGGGAAATTCACAAGAATGAGGGTTAGGTTTTGACCGGTGAAGATCAGTGTCAGCAACAATGGCTATTGGGTATCCTAGTCATAGTGGATTCATTGGCTTGAGATTGGGTTGACACTGCATGGCGCTGGTTATCTTCAATGGTACCTTACAATGATACTTTTGCACTATGGAAATACCAAAGGACGATCCCAAACCCTCCACACCTTTGAAGAAAGGCAGCAGGGTAGAGAATGACAGCACATGGGGTTTACTGGTCTGCGTTGGCTGTTTGTCAGAGTTGCAGCTCGCATTATGCAAGGATTTTTTTTATTACAGCACGAATGCCTCACTAACTACCGAAAATCCTTGCCCCCCATGTTAATGTTGCTTCCCAGCAGGCGATCAGCGCATCCCTTCTCTTTGCTCAGCGCCCTCAATGGGTGTCACCCATCCAACACGCTGCCCAACGAAGAGCTCGGCGGTTGGCTTGGCATCGTCAAGCACGCTGCGTTGTTCGGCATCGAGGACGCCCAACTTGAGGATTACTGCGCCCCCAAAAGCAGAGGGGTCGTCGTAGCACTCCCGGAAGAGCGTCGTGCCGCAATCGCCGCAGAAGTGAGATGTCAGGATGCGTCCTGAGTCTGCCGGCTTCTGGTATTTGCGTACATCGCCTGCGGTTACAAAGAACCGGTCGGTAGGGATGAGGAGATCAACCCCGTACGTCGACCCGCTAATCTTGCGGCAGTCTGTGCAATGGCATATGACCTGGGCCCGTCGTAGTCACGTTCCTGCGTTAGCCTTTTGCTTTTTTGTCTGGTATGATGATGGTATGGGGAACGCTACTGGATGATGACAGTGGAGAAAGGCGAGTGAGAAATGCAATTACCTTCGAATTGGGCTCTCCGTAGTAGGCAATGCGGATCTTGCCGCAGAGGCAACCGCCTCTAGGCATAATTCTAAAAGGTCCTGGGGACGGGATACGATGGAATACTGCTATCTTTTGGAGGGATGAGGTGTTTGAGCATACGTTTGAGTGTGTGAAGAGTGAAAAATTTGCAAGTCATGCTTCACTGAGTATGTTTCCCCGCACTATCTTGGCTGGTAGGACTTGGAAAGTGATTTTCTTCCGGTGATAATGCTGTATCACCGTGGCTTGCATAAGTCTGGCCAAGAGCAAGTTGTCTGGTGGTTGGATGCTACCTACTAACGCCCGGAAATTGTACCTAGCATGAGCCCTGCAACAGTGCAGAATCTTACTTGAAAGCGGAGTGAACAGGGGGTCAAACAGTAACTCGAAAGTAAATCAGCAGTAGCTAGGTAGGTGTCGGTTGGTTGGCAACGTGTAGATCTGACGAACGAGCGGGCTTGAAGTTGCCTGATCACCTAAATGTCATACTTGGGCACGGTCGATCGCTCGCCTCACTTAAATCCGGGCCAGCGGCTGTTCAACAGCCTATCGGACTCTATCTGTGCCTCCCCCGCGCTCAAATATTACTCTCATAATCCAGGGGAGACGTAGTTCAAGAGAGGGGGCTTACATTTGATGTCAACCGGGGCGCCAAAAGGGCCGTTACCCCAGCTGCCACGTGGAATATGGTTCTAAGATACATTCAAACCCTGCAAGCGAGGCACACCTTTTCATGAACTCAACGCCCTGGTTGTTCGGCTACCTTTCACCCCATCCCCATCCTAGCTTATTTACGTACATTGACAAGTCGACAAGGTACATTAGGCCCGATCGACAACCAGGGTTCGTCTTGTGGAGATTGCTTCGACCCACGTCTTTAGCCAGCCTTCCCCTGTTTGCCTGTCCAGCTGATTCTGGAGAAAGATAGACTAAGTCTAGACTTGGACTGTCCGAGGAGGCCAGGTTTTCTCAGGTACTGTAGATGTACTAATGCAAGAGATTGACATAATGCCACCTGACTTGCTGGGTAATGAGATGCCTAGAGCTAATGCTTTAGTTTTACAGCTCTGGTATTCCATCATCACAATACATTAATGTAGGGGTGATGAATATATCATGGTACTGAGACTAACATTCAAAGTGAAATTGTAATCTGGAAATTGCTGTTGATTCAGTATTCTGTTTATTAGACTTAAGAAAGAACAGGATTCCGAAACGTGATGGATCGATATGATTCGTCTCATTTTACTTGTAGTGGTAGGTTACTGGCACTGTGTTGATAGCCCATCAGTGATAGTCTCCCTTGGAGGCTGTGTTTCTAAAAACTAACTAGAGTATAGTAGCGTCGACGGGGGTGGCTACTGTTGGATATTGCGAACTGACGTGCATGAAAAATTTTTATGCCCTGCCGCAGCCTGGGAGAGTGCCTCTCGTGATGTGGAAAAATAAGCAACCACAATTGTGTAAGCACAGACCAACGTTTCAGAGCGTGGATGGCATGTGACGGTAAAGGGACGAACCGTCCTATAAAAATGCAAAGAATTATGCATGGCATGATATATGAGGCAGGGTTAATATGTGGTGTGATATAGGAAGGCTATAATGGATGTATCCATGGTTAGGGCCACCCCCTTTGCGAAAGGGATCAAGAAAATTTTTCCGGTGCTGAGAAAGAGTGAACTATGAAATCATGCAGCATGATATCTCAAGAGAGGGAAAAACATCTTTTGAGCTAATACTTTCAGGGACGGAACGCCTGGTGGTGGACAGTGAGCCAGTATTTACGAAACAAGAGTGAATGAACTGATATAAATCTAACTTAGAATAAACGAACATGACATTTTGGGGAAAGAAGAATAAGGAAAAAGGCATAACATTACAACATGATGAAAAGACAAGTTTATCCCATAGTCCTACAACAATTTTGCTCCACTCGAGTCTGGCCATAAAACACGACCTTTGAATCCAACAACCACAATCTGTCAAGAAAGAAATACAATGTAGAAGAAAAGAGAAATGGAGATAAGATAGAAAGATCATATCAGAGGGGCCTTTTCTGAAGAGAACGTATAACTTTACTTCCTGCTTCTACGTGAATAGCTGCTCCGTGGGACCTCCTCGTGATGCTCATCTTGTCGAGAGGAGCCAAACATGCTATCAAAGTCGCCGAGAAATTCACTAGCGCGACCTTGATATGCTGCTTGGCGAGTGTTTGTGCGGTGGCTTGATGAAGAAGTAAAGTTGCCAATGGGGCTAATATCGAGTCTAGATCTCTCGCGATCAGGTAGAAGACGAGGGTCGTGATCAAGAAGGGAGGGCCTGGGGCGGGAGTGTCCAGGAGAGTAACCACCCAAAGCACTGCGTATGAGTTAGAAGATATCCTAATGAGAGATGGGGAGTGAGTAGACTTACCTTCCCTGACGCCCAGCAATTGATTCAACATCGTCATAATAAGGAGGGGTCTCCTCTCTGTGTCGTCGCCTATCTGGGAGGCCATTGACGCGCTGCCCAAACGAGGCATCGTGCGTAACGCTCGTCAGGCGTTGGTGCTGTGGCTGTCTTGAACTCCGAGTAGAGTGATCGTTGTGAGGATAGATAGAGGAATGGCTGGCATATCTGCTATCAAGGTGGTTGGATTGGTGGTCGTGGATGTTGCGGTCCTGATAGCTGGTGCGGGATGGATAGAAGCCGTCCTCCCCATGGAAGGTGGCGGCTCCAATATCGTTATTGTCTAGGTAACGATCAAGAGTAAAGTTCGAGCTTTCACCCCTTGCTCGACGATGTCGGCGTTCGGTAGTATCGCCATTGCGATGGCTTCTTCTTGACGATCTGCGATGTTGATCTGACATGGTCACCGATTGATGTTGAGGTAGATTTTGAACGAATAGAGAAGGAAGTAGGTTAATTTTTAGATATAGAGGAGTCCTGAGAACAGATGCAGCTGAATTCTGCTAGACTGAATTGATGGGAGAGGGGATGTATTATAAGGAGTAGAGAAGAGGGTATATTTTGGCGAAGAGTGAAGGAGGGAGGCGAAAGAAATGAATCTAGGAAAAAGAATGGGAGGACTGCTTTTAAAACAAAAGTCAGTGATAACACTGAAGTGTCACACACAAAGGTGAGGAAGCAAGTGGAAATACATCAGCACATAAGGGGGGCCACAATTGTGGTGGTGATCGCGGACGTGGCCCGTGAGTCACTGGTGTGTGTTAGCTTGTGGCCTTAAAGTATGCCTAATAATTCGAAGGCATATATATATGAGTGCTAAAGTATTACTTACACATCTAATGAATGTACATCTTGAAAGACGCCATGTTATAGTAGGCTGATGAACGTTTCAGCATCACGGGCCGAAAGTAAACGGGGGGTGGGGGAAACGTCTGGTGTAAGGCGGCTGTGTACGAGGGTGCCGTGATGAAGAGGCCAATCGTAGGGGTAGAAGGACGCAGAGACATTGCTTGGGCTCTCTGGACTGCATTTCCTTGACCGAACTCGAGAAGGTCGAAAGGGGCTTGGCTTGGGGAGCCATCGAGCAGACGGACGAAGCGGTGTCATCTTGGCTGGTAAAACGAAGGCCTCTTGACAAACAAGGTAAGGTGGTGTGTAGGGGCGCCTGGATATATGATTCGGCGAATGTTCGACATCGGATTACCGTCGACGAGAAAGCGAAAGGGATTTGACAGCCAGCAAAGCATCGAAGCAGCGGTGAGTGAAGCATGATCCGATGACTTGCTTGTAAGGCGGCCGTCTAGACGTATTGGGATTGGTTTGGAGATCTGATGGGCAGCATGATTGGCATAATGTAATGAGGGAAGTACGTCTCGCAGCTGATCAGGCTGGCGAGCAAGGGAGCAGGCAACGATCGCTGAGGATAGGGCATCAACGGCACGGAAAGCGGTGGACAAAGAAGGCAAAGATTTAATGGAGAAGACAGGTATGAGATGGACAGAGAGAGAAGAGAAAATCAAAGGCAAGAATCAAGGGCGCAAGGCTGGGCTGAGAAGTGGGGGACTGTGTTAACGCGAGCCGCCACGCCGCAGAAACACTCTGCAGAAGGATCGAGCATTTCAATGTTATTAATCAACTGCATTAGTGAATTCTCATATCTCATATTGTCTAAAATTCTGGTTCTCCTCATTACTGCAACGTCTCAGTAGCTCCGCTCCTCCTTAGGGTCTCGTGGCTGCGGCTGTCCCTGCATACGTTATGGGCCAACTTACCAATTTGCATCCTCTATACATTGCCGCCGCCTAGTAACCCAGCCGGAGCTTTTTGTATTTATTAGATCCCTCCTCATCTGAGCCCTGATTAGAATCTGCGGGACATGGGACGAAAACCCTTCATCAGATGTGCTACATGTAATCCAAGGGCTGAGCTAGTTGCTGTACAACAGAAGAGGCACCCGATTTTTTAAGTGGCCCTCAAGAGAGTTTACAGGACGAATATTGATCAAATGATACACGGAGCGCCCGCGGGCGACGGATTAGGTGATGGGTGGGTGGACGGATGGTAGGGGATGGGTACTGTGAGTGTGAGACAACAGGACCAGGGGGAAGCGGTTGCAACCGTTACTCTCTGCCTAATTCAATCGTCGACATCAAGTTTTTCTCGTTGGGTGCTGAAAGGATTGGGAATTGGGCTCAAGTCTTGGGTAAATTTTCCGTATGACAACCAGCCTTCTGCATGTATCATGTATTTGAGATTTGAGGATGGTTCGCGGACCAACTTGGACGGAGAGGAATTGTCATGGACCAGGCATTATCTCTCTTGGGTAGTGTGGCTTCTAAAGAGGGAATTCTTGGATCTTCGCTGCGCTGTACACTCCATCGAGCAGTCTTGTTGAGCCAAGGACACAGGAGACTGCTTCTACGCGCCATGATGGAGACAGAAGGCACGGGAGAATCAATCTACGCCAGCTGGGCAGGGGGTAAGTGAGAGGAGGCCTTTGCGAGAAGGCCATGTGCATCAGTACTGAGGGTGGGCCGTCGCTACATCATCGCATGCACGACGACCAACTGCATAATCAGCTCTATGGCGTACGTCTTGATCCCCTCTCTTCTGCCGCCAGCCCTTCTCCATGCCCCCTGAGCGGATTCCTGGTCATCTGCTCACTTAGTGAGATTAATTGTCTCTCGTTTCCTGCGAGATAGCGGGTCTAGCCATAATACTAACAGTCGAGGCTGAAATATGACTTGTTGCATATTTTTTTCTTTTACATTCAGCCTTCCATTTACGGGTGGTGTCCCCGCTGCTGCATGAGTGGGCTGGTTCAATGATCAAGTAGAGCAATTTGTGTGCAGGTATATTTACATATGCAGGATATAGGTACTTGTGTCTAACTTCTATGGTTAGGATGCTCCTCTAGCGAAGCCTCACAAGCGATTAATTATACACTAAACTCATCTTTCTAGCGCTGTATCATCGTCATCATTCATTCGTACGGAGGGAATCCTTGGCAGCCTTGTTCGTGTGTCTCACCCCATCCACCCTGAGCGGGTCCTTCCCACCCTCCGTTTGCTCGGCTGAGATCACAGGGACTCAGGTGTAATCGTTTAACCTAGATCCGAAGAGTGTGAGCGCTTCGTACCTGGCTGGGGGGTAACAACGGTGTAGTTACAGGTAGGGCAGTATGTTTTGTCGTTTGGCGTGGCAGGGTAGCTGTCCTGGTTGTAGGTCGTGTTCAGCGTCACGGAACCCACAGTGTCGCCAGACTCGAGCTGGATCCACGTGTCGACGGCGAAGTCCTGGAGCATTTCTTGCGTGACGAGAACTTGGCGAGCGCCGCGGATCCAATTTCCATACCCTCCGTAGCCACTGTGCTGACCAAAACAGAGGTTAATACCGTTCCCCTGGACCGTCATTCCTGGGACAAGAGTGTCCCATTTGTAGCACCAAGTCGCTCCGTGGTCATGGCCAGAGAAGAGAGCCATCAGCCCAGGGGTCTCGCTGATGGCTTTCATGAAAGGTATATCCTGCCCGCCGTAGGAACAACTGCCGTCGTTGCGACCATCGGAACACCAGCCCTCTGCCTGGGGAGCAAGCGGATAATCGTCGTTAATACCGGGCTGGCGGTTGGCATCGACGCCAGGTCCTGCCTGTAGCGCAAGGGAGGCGTAGGACGGTATGTGGGTGAAGGCGAGGGATGGGATCGTTCTGCCGTACTTGTGGACGAGTTTGGCATTCGTCTGGCTGAACCAGTCCACGACACTCGTATCGACCCAGTTGGGATGGCCAATGGCCGAGCCGTCTTCATTCCACTCCTGGTAGCGGAAGCCTCCGCGGCTATCAAAGAACCAGAGGAGAAGCTCGGGGGCACATCTCTCATAGTAGGTGCAGTTGGCGCCGTAGACAGGTAGGTAGTAATTGGAGACGCCAGCATCGGGTGCGAAGACCATTTGGGTTGTGCGTGCGTTTGGCCAGCGTTTCTCACGCTCCAGGATCGTTTTCCCCGTCACATTCACTTGGTAGTCGTGATTCCCATAGGTAGATGCCCAGCTAAGGCCACGCTCAACCATGGGCCCGACGATCATGTCGATGTAGTCGGTGCTGTTCTCTAGGTACGTGTTTTCCCCGGTAATGAGATCACCATTGAGGACGACCAGGTCTGGAGTATCAAAATCTAGGACCTTGTTCAACACTTGGACAGAGTTGATGTCCTGTTGAGGGCCCCACTGGTCCCAAGCATCTGTAAGATAAGTCAATACGGCGTGGACTGAAGTCGAAAGGATGGGATAGAGACTCACTTTCACCAAAGTGCAGGTCCTCAAAGATGGAGAGCTGAAAGGTGCCATCCGACTTGAATCTCAAGGGGCTAGTGTGCTGAAAGGGCATCTGGCAGGACAGGCCCACGAACAGCGAGCCGACAAGGGACTGGCGCAACATGTCGAATGAGCGACGATACAAGAAGACCGAGACACAGATGAGAAGCAGGACGAAGAGCGTGAATATGGTGCCGCGCTTTGGCAAACTTCGTCTTTCCCTCGTCCACCGACGGCCCAAGGCCTTCCCGTCCATCTCCATGGCGGATGAGGCGATTAATATACGTTCTCGCGATGGCCCAAATTACATTACACGACGAGGATGCCGGCGCCCGCGAGATTGGATTGCGGTGCGGTGGTGGCAGGCCAACCCTTCAAATGGCTCCCGCCCAGCGATGGAATGGACCAGTCCGGGGATGGCGCAGCCAGTCAGGCAATGGCTCAGAGGCACCTGCAGACCATTCTCGGGAATTCAAGCAGCGGCATCCTCTCCCATGGCACCAGTCTCCGGATCAGTTGATGGTTGGATGGATGGAAGGTGGTCAAAGGCTGCAGGTCGTAATTTAACTGGCCTCACACGTGGGAGCAGCTGCAACTGTCACGGGCCCAAAGTCCAGCGTCGGCCTAATTATTTTGTCCGCCTGCATTGGTTTAAATTGACACCTTCTTAAACCATCTTCGCTGCTTCCATCGTCAAAATGTATCTGACATGCCTTGAAGCCTGCAATTGAGCATCCAGCTGCCTTTGAATATTTGCACCGTGCCTGTTGCAGTTGCTTGCATTTGTGGGCCACTTCCCGGCTTCATGCCCGCTGCCGAACGAAGACGAACACCAACAGAACCCCTACCCGTTTTCATGCTGTCACAGTCGCTCGTATTTCCCCAGTGGCAAGGCAAGAATTGGGCCATATAGATAATGGTCTTGGGATCTCCTAGCAGCATACTGATGCGACCCTAGATTGCCATCCTCGCCCCAAACCATCGCGAGTTTGAAGTGCAGGTGACTTTTATTTCGCCCGAGGTCATGAGCTACTGATATATTTGACTGGTACATTGACAAACCCTTGAAGCGCAGATTCCTGACCGTCGTT